CTAATAATCATGATAAACTTAACAAAGTTGTCGAAACTATGTATTTACTCGTTGGAGTTTAGGATAGAAATGCCACATTTTTCTCAAAGCAGTTTTTAGCATGTGTTGATATTTTTTGGAAAATTTAAAAGGCGATGGGATTTTGTTATTTTTAAGGAATTTTGACACGCTATTAAGAAACCACGTGTTCGTTTCGATAAGGGCCGTATTGTCATTGCGTTTATTTATGACTATGGTGTTATGTAATTGTAAAAAACAACCCCTCAGCGAATCTTCTTTTAATTGTATTCTCTTCAAAATGTAAAATTTAGGTTAAAAAAATCGATATTGTGATTTTAAATTTTTTAATATGCTCAGTTAACATTGTTTTAAATGTTTGGATTTTTTGAATTATTTGTGTTGATTATTAAGGCGTTTACTCAGGTTTGGCTAGTTTCTCCAATATAAAAGAGTTCGCAATTAGAGCAATTAATTTGATATACTAAATTCCTGAGGCGGTCAAAATTGAACTTAGATTTCATTTTGTGTAAAAATTGAACTAAGGGTTGCTCACACAATTACATACCAACAGAATGCCACATTGTTTGAAATAGTTTTTTCCACGAGGAAATATAAATCTTTACGTACGGTAGGCAAATGACACCAGTATATGATTCTAAGTCTAAGCGGTTTTTATGATCTGTGAGGTCTTTTTGTTTGTTAAAAAATGTAACTGCGTCTGTTATTTATGACCGAGTTGATTATGTTCGTAGGATATGAGTTGTTTTTCAGTGTTGTGTTATAACCAGGTCAATGTTCGTGTCCCAGAAGTTTTTGTCAGATAGTAATATGGCGTGGTCTGTTAAATTTATTATTGTCGCAATTTTCATTTTAAGAGGGTGGTATGAGTGGTAATTTATGTATCGTCCGGAGCTAGTTGGTTTCTGGTACCAGTTAGTAATTAGTCGGTGGTCATTTGTACGTATGAGTTCTGATGTCTAGAAAGCTAATCGAATTCATTGTCTACTATACGTAAAAATGACCACCGACTAATTACTAACCTGTACCAGAAACCAACTAGCTCCGGACGATACATAAATTACCACTCATACCACCCTCTTAAAATGAAAATTGCGACAATAATAAATTTAACAGACCACGCCATATTACTATCTGACAAAAACTTCTGGGACACGAACATTGACCTGGTTATAAAACACACTGAAAAACAACTCATATCCTACGAACATAATCAACTCGGTCATAAATAACAGACGCAGTTACATTTTTAACACAACAAAAAGACCTCACAGATCATAAAAACCGCTTAGACTTAGAATCATATACTGGTGTCATTTGCCTACCGTACGTAAAAGATTTATATTTCTCGTGGAAAAAACTATTTCAACAATGTGGCATTCTGTTGGTATGTAATTTGTGATGCAACCCTTAGTTCAATTTTTACACAAATGAAATCTAAGTTCAATTTTGACCGCCTCAGGAATTTCGTATATCAATTAATTGCTCTAATTGCGAACTCTTTTATATTGGAGAAACTAGCCAAAACCTGAGTAAACGCCTTAATCAACACAAAATATTCAAAAAATCCTAAGCAATTTAAAACAATGTTAACTGAGCATATTAAAAATTTAAATCATAATATCGATTTTTTTAACCCTAAAATTTACATTTTGAAGAGAATACAATTAAAAGAAGATTCGCTGAGGGGTTGTTTTACAATACATAACGACAGAGTCATAAATAAACGCAATGAAATACGGCCCTTATCGAAACGAACACGTGGTTCTTAATAGCGTGTCAAAATTCTTAAAAAATAACAAAAAATCCATCGCCTTTTAAATTTTCCAAAAAAATATCAACACATGCTAAAAACTGCTTGAGAAAATGTGGCATTCTATCCTAAACTCCAAAGAGTAAATACATAGTTTCGACAACTTGTTAAGTTATCATGATTATTAGTGTGTTTTACCATTTGTGATGTTTGTGTTAAAAAATATATATCTTATCAATGTGCACATACTCATACCATGGATTAATATGGTTTCATATGCTATATTAGGATAAAAATTGTAAGTGTTTTATTAAACCATTATTATTATTGTTTTTCCACAAAATTTCTTTCATATAATTTATTTAGTTTCAATTTATAGTTAACTTGATTACCACTGAATGATTGGCTAAGATGCTAGCCGAAACGTATGGATTTTAAATAAATAAATTTTAAAAAAAAACTCATACTATTTTTATTGATGTTACGCCCGATTATTAAACTCAAATAAA